CAGCAGCTTATTATGAGCCATGGTTATGTTTTATTGTCAGGTGAGCTCTGGCGACCGTAGTTATTATGACAGGAGCGAAGGTGGAGGTCAGCTGATGGAGTAGAGAGTGACAAAGTCCACGGTGGATGGATGTGTGGACAAAACACAGCTTCACACAGACTAAAGCCTAATATCAAATATCAAAGAAGATAACCTTATGAGCATAAACTTGATTATATCGCCGAGATTGTTACCATGACAACAAAGGTTGCCTGCAGCTAAGTACACGTCTTGTCCGAGGGTACAGACCTACATGGTTGTTTGGTTGTTCCATTAAAACCTCTTTATGTTTCACACGTTGGTATTTGACATGTTTAAAATGATCACTTACATTCACTTCAAATAAACCATGAGTTGCAACCAAGTTAAACTGGTGACCAGTCTCATTTATCTGCTGGTAGTGGTGGACTGTAACAAAGCACATATACATAGTTACTGTACTTTTTCATGTACCTGTACTTTACTGAAGTAGATTTATTTTTGGTGTATTCCTCTAGATTTATCAGCAAATATATGTACTCTCTCCTCTGCTACTTTTTTTAAATGCATCAAATTATACAAGAAATTCGTTTTTTTTTGTGTTTTTAAAGTAATCAATGAGGGGAGGGGGAATTGATCTAATCAGAGCAGGTGGTTAACTTTAGACCCCGCCTCCTTTAAGAAGAGCGAGGTGCGTCTGCACAGACTCAGACATAATGATGAAGTAGACCATTAACTCCAGACTAAACTCAGCATGTACTCTAACTTTTAATACTTCAAGTATATATTGTATTCACTTACTTTTACTCCATTAGAAAAGTTAACATAGGTTTTTGTCCACTTATTTGTACTTGCCAGGCTCACAGGTTTAATGTGATTAGCAATATTCAACAAAAATTAGCATAGTTTTTTTATCATTGTCGTTGGCGTCACCTACACTATAACTGTGGATGACAAACAGAGGATCACACGGTTCAATAAGAAGCTTCTCTGTTGCTGCTGCTGTAAAATCAGGAGTGTCCAATTCATTTTTTTGCAACAGAACATTTATATATGGATATGTGTTATGAATATAGACATGTCATGACTCTGTACCGCTCTTTTAGCAGTCTCTCACACAGACACACACACAGACACACACACACACACACAGAGACACACACACACACACATCCATATTTAAAGCAGAGAGCAGCTTGTGTCTCCACCCAGAGAGCACCTGTAAATAATGCAGTGTTAAAGGTGGCAGAGGGGAATTAGGAGACAACCAGGTGGATGAACACCCTCCACCGGTACACCCACCCGTGCACCACGCAGACCCACCACGACACGCCGCCACGCCGCCACGCCGCCACGCTAACGTTTCACTCTCTCAGCATCATCGTGTGCAGTCTTAACACCACAGGTGCTGAGATGCAGCATGGCAGGCCCAGGGGGGCCGCCGGCCTTTCCTCTCGCCATACTCAAAGCAGTGATGGGCAATAAAAACACTTCACACCTTAAGTGAAAGATACGACTTTAAATATTTTACACACATTCTGCATATGCAATTTATCCACACCTGGCTCTTAGGAGCAACAACATCTGGTGGCAGTTGCTTTAGAGGCAATTAATTCTTCATCCAAGCAGTCAGGGTCCTTTCTGAAAATGTGGAGAGGGACTTGAGTGTTACTTAGATGAGTGCAAATGTTAAGATGACTGTTCACTTCAGTAGCATCGACACAATACAGAATGCAGCGCTGGTTATGGTTCCATGAACAGAAACTTCAAGAAGATCCAAATACAACAAGAAGTTAAAAAATTGGAATTGAATTACTAAATGTTCT